GTCATACAGTCAACCTCTCTTTGACTTTTAGGTAACAGGTTTTAAAGCTGGAACAATAGGGATTAGAGTGAGATTCACTCCACATCTGACTGACAGAAAGGACGTGGCAGAGTGAATTTTGGGAGCTAATGATGATGTTTTATCTGCTGGATGACAGCTGCATTTAAAATGACATTCTAGGTGAACAGGATGTTCCTAATGTTCACTTCAATTCAATTTTATTTATACAGCACAAAAATCACAAGAAAAGTGTCTCCAGGTGCTTTATATTGTAAGGTAGACCCTACAATAATACATAGAATAATACATGTTGTTGAGGATAACAGACTAATATGTATTAAAGAAAGTGACAAGATGCTCAATGTCAGTGTAGGAGGCCTAGGTACAGACACAAACCCAAAATCAATCGTCTTCTCTGACATGCTGCTGGCAAGTGAGGGTGTGTCCATGATAGGAGTGAAGTGTAGCTCGTGCCCTTCTGGGTAGCAGCAAGCTGACCGGCTCTGCAGCCCGGAGCATCACTCTGTCTCTGTTAGCCATCGCTCTGCGGCTCTGCTGGATCCTCCTGGATTAATTGCAACCATGTCTGCATTTATTCTAGTGTAATTTTCTGGAGCTTGATAGCTTTTCTTCTTTAAGAAACATTTTAATATTTAAGATTCACTTTGTTCCTTCATCCCCAAATGTGCCAATAAAATCAATCATGTTCATTTTGACTCATTAAAACATTTGAAAAGTATTTGTGCTGATTTTTGTTTTATGTGTTAAACTTACCGTCTATAGTAGCCTTTAAGCTCTTGATGTAGTGGCATGGTTTGCCCAGCAGATGGAGACACTGATATAGTGCAGATGCATCCTATGCATGGCTGTATGATGTTATCCTTTAATTAAAAGACCAGCAGGCCTGGGTGTGTTACTCTCAGGAACACTAGCACTCTCTGATTAAGGTAAACATATTTATAATTTATTAATGTACAGCTTGTTTCATTTCCCATCAGTCACAGCTGATAGATGAACACAGCACTGAAGTTGTTCCTGAGTTGTTCCTACACTAAGCCCATCAACACTTGCTTTGTTTCATAAGGCTGAAAAAATAAACAGTTTATAAGCATTTAATAAGCTGTAGAAAAACACATATATGATCATGGATCTCCTCAAACCCCTTCAAATATACTGTAATTACATAACTTGTGTTTTATTGAAACCCAAATATAGTTTTATACTTTTTTATTTCAGTGTTTAATCTGATTAAATCTCTTGTACCCTCTGATAATGCATTCCACATTTTGATCTTGTAACTCTGGTTTAAATAATAAAACTGTTTCTCGAGTATCTTATCATTCGGGCTAATTAACATTTTTCTGTAGTATCTCACTATTTTAAATACATTTTCTCATCGTGACCTGGTTAGTGTCATGTTATACACAAAAGCAAGATGTCTCTGCGGCACAAGTTCTAAGAGGTTAAAACCCAGTAAGGGTGTAAACCTTTCATAAAACAACAGGTTTCCATGTTTAACATCTTTCTATAATTGTGACAGAGTCTGACAGGTGTCTGCTGTGTTACACCTGTGGACTGAATTCAAAACCTATTTTAATCAGGTTTAGTTAAACGACTGAACTATTATGAATCTATAAACACTCCCTCAAAACTCTAAATGTAGTAATTGAAGGGTAACGTGTTCATAAAAAGAGTGTTGAACTGTGATAAGTTTTGTGATTTTACTATCACATCTGCTACTCTTCTGACAGATAAAACACAAACACAGTAATAATGATTTTATTACAAAGCACTTTGGTGGCCAGTAAGAGTAAAAATAGCACAAAGTGATTACCATCCCAGTGTCATACTTAAACTACAATCATATTTAAACTGGAAAAGCACCTCAGAGTGTGAATTCTTAAAGGACATTTTAATGTATTATTTTAATATAAATTTTTACCAATAGCCACCTCCTGCATCTACAGGCAGCGTGTTTGAGTTCAGTCTTTCTCACGCAGTCTAAAAATGGGAGCAATTATCAGGCGATAGAGGCAGATCCCAGTTTTAATGGTAAATCTTACTTTCAGATAGAGACAGCTCTTATTTGAAGGATGTGACGTATAGGGAAAATAGACTAGTTAACATATCCCCATGAAACACTCCTTCATCTGATAATGCAGACTAAGGGGAAATATGAGGTTGTTCTTTGTTGAATTAAATGAGCCGTTTTTTTCCAGCCCTGGGCTGAGTTGGATTAACAAAAGAAAGTGGATGGACAGATGTTAGCTTTATGTACTAATAGGAAGTCAAGGCCCCAAAAACGATTTATTATATTATAGTTTTATTATAATCATCGTAGTTTATTGTTACCTTCTTGTTATGTAATGCTGTTGTGAGCATTAAAGGATTACGGTCAGTACTCTTAACTCTGAAGCAGAACTCTCAGCTTGAGGAGATCAAAACTCTGTTGTGATATAAACATCCTCTGATTAGGAAAAAGGAAATGAGCACTTTATTGTGCTTGATAGTTCTGATGAACTTATGTGACCTCAAACTCTAAATAAAAGGCTGCAGTTATCCGTATGCACACAGAACAGCTGCTGTCTCCCAGCGTAGCTTCAGTTGACACAGTTAGTGTGCTTGGTGCAGCGCTGCAGAGTGGGGAGCTGGTGCACACAGGTGCGTGTTAATGCTTGTGAAGGTTGCGGTGAAGCGGAAGTCTGCACCTCTGAAGCTTCTCAGCAATCTGCCGCTCGCTCGTCTCACTCCGTGACCACATCCTGTGCTCTGCTGTTGCTCTCAACGCCTCCGTAAGCTGTCATGACCTGGTTTGTTCCTCACAAAACAACAGCTTCAACCTCCTTCTCTGGAGAGAGGAGAGTATTGATTTCCTGTTCGTACGAGCTGTGGTTGACTCACATTTTACACGCATACTTCAATATCTATAGCCCTCCACCTACTGTGAAAAAAACACAGCTTCACTCACTGAGAATGGAAAAAGTGAATCTTGAACAGGTTTTACAGACAGGGGAACATGTCACAGTAAAAATGGCCCAATGTTTTTGAGTTGGAGTTCATAGAAAATGGAAAATATAAGGGTGAGTTCTCAGAAACCCAACAGATAACAGGCTGCTAAAAATAGCTCCCTGCTAGCCATGCAGTGTAGTGAAGGCTCAGACATAAATGAATAATACCTGAAACTGCACCTGATGAGTAACTGTATGCTGTACTGTCAGGCAGAACTGCCTCAGACTCATATATGAAAGAAATAAACAGTTGTGTGTTTAAGGAGTACTTTTATTAAGAAGCAAACTGAGCACAAAGCACTTACACAAACTAACAGAATAATAACTAATAACAGCACAGGATGTGCACTTATTTATATACTAAATGGAAGAAAGTCAAATGGAAAGCAAAGCTTTAGGATACTGTGAATGTTTTTGTTTTCACAGAAAGCAGCTCAGTCGTTCAGCTCAGCTCTCATTTCTCTGGTTTTCTTGAAAACCCCTGTGAAGACAGGAAACACGTTTTCAGTTTACAGAGTCGCTCTTTAAACAAAGGTTTAAACGTAAAGCCTCATGTCTTCAGTGAGTCTTCACTAAATAAACTGACTATAAAGAAGGCAAGCTTCACCTTCCTACTAATTTTTAATTATCAATCAAGCACCAAGAAATTCAGAAGTGACGTCGATGTAAAGCAGTTTTCTTGGATACACTAAATGATAACTATAAGAAATCCTTTTCAGAGCTTCTGTGGTAATAATGAGCACTTTGTCAGAGTTTTTACATATATATTACCACCCACCGGTGCTGAGATCACTGGGAAAATATTATTACACTAATTTTAAAAGTGATTGATTGAGATATTTAATGAAAAATACTGCTGGGGTGACTGAAATATTGTCATGGAGAATCTATAAATCTATAAACTTTAAACAACATCAACAACAAAACCCCTTCCTTGTTATTTTAAATGATACCTTTATATTCATTAGTTTTAGCTCATTAGCTTTTAAAATGTTTTCAATAGGTCTTAATTGTTGAGTGATAGTTGCTGAGAAAAAAAGACATATTCAAGAAAAACAGGCTAACTGATGTTTTTCTTAGCTGCTAATTTTTACGGCGGTCTAACAAATCGATCCTGCATTACATTTAGATTCAGTTTCAGACAGGTTCCTTTGGAGGAAGAAGCACGTGGTGCTGTTAAATGATTGTTTTGTATTGAGATTTGTTTCATATAACGACCACTGCTCGTGGCACAAACAGGAGCTGGATCGTTTTGGACCAACCTGAAGTTTCCACACCAGGATGATCACAAAGAGTCCGTAGATGCTGCTCTTGATGATCAAAACCAGATATGACAGCTTGGCATTGTGGGTGGTCTTCAGATACTTGTCTGCACAAAATTGTAAGATTTGTATTATTTTCCCAGCTCAGTACAGAGCAGACACACTGGGTTATTGTTATTAATAATATTATTAATAATATTTACTTCTTATTGCTGCAGCTCCTGGATCTAAGAAAAAGAGAAACGATTTCTTTCAGTGAAATCAAGTCAAACTATTCCAGATGATTTTGACACATTTAAAGATTGTAAATGAACGTACTTCGAATGCCTGCGACCCAGCCTACAGAAGGAACCGTCTGCTCCCCAGCAAAGAAGTCGACGGTGCAGGTGAAATTCTTGCCTGGTTTGAACCACTGTGAAAATAAGACTCTCAGCCTGCTTGTGATGCGGTAGTGGGTACCATTCCAGTGGGCAGAGTGATCGGTGGCGACGCCATCTTTGACGTCCACCCCATCAATCTGCCAGGACACATTCACATGGTCCGGATAGAAACCAGAGGCCACACACAGCAAGGTCTTCTTGTTTTTCTTGTCTTTTTCATTTTGACACTCCTTTGTTGAAGGTTTAAACACTTTCACCGTTGGTCGCTCAACTGTTCTATTTGGTGCTGTGGGACAAAGAGAATCGAATCATTAGAATGCAAACAGTCTCATTATTCCCATTTTGAATACCCAAAGATAAAAAAAGTAACACTTGTAAAAAAAACCCTGCTTTGTCATTTTCTTTTGGATTTTTGGATCTTTTGGAAAAACAGCAGGTGAGTAAAAAGAAAGTAAAATGAAATAAATAATGGCGTAAGGTGTTAATATGTAACCTTCTGACGCCACATCTCTTTTTTTCTTTTTTCCAAAATGCTGCTTTTGCAGCATATATCTTAGATATAGAAGAATTTGAAATAAATTTCATGGCACATTGTTTTAAATCCACAGCAACGTGTTTAGAACTTTGTGATTCTGTCTACACCCAAGCATGAACATTCAAACTTTGCTCTTTTTACAGCCCTAAACTTACATTAGAACTTCTCAGAGGTTCTCGGCAGTGGAAAAAAAACATGCATAAGGTTTCTTACCCAAAACTGTCAGTTTGGTGCCAGTACCAAAGTAAGCAGGGTTGTAGTTTGCCACACTGATATGCAGCGTAGTAAAAATTGTTAGTGCTACCAACAGCTGGAAATGATCTTTTATTTTTCTCTTTATGAAAAATTCAAATTTCTCCAAATTTACTCTTCATAACAAAACCTAATTAGACAGATTTTAGATTTTAGACAAAGTCAGGAACCTTAAATGATGCTACAGTAACTCGACTTACTTACAATTAGGTTTTAATTTATGGACTATTGCATGATAAAATACATTTGTGCCTGTTAAAATGTTCTATTTTTGCACCTTACCCGAAACTGTGGGGTTAGTTCCCAAAGTGAGCCTCGGACTGGGAATACGCAGTCGCTCACCGAGCTGATCAGAACTCCGTGTAGCCACAGATAATCTGGGCATAGAGCCAATTCTTTTATAGCTGCAGCACTTTGCTGAAGACTAATCAGCACTGACACAAGACTAACTTTGTGCTTTAATAGCTTTCACTTTTTAAAAACAGCTTGAATATGTTTATGGCTGATTAATAAAACCACCCAAAAAGTGAAGCACACTTATCACACATTATTTCTATCATATTAAGACGTGTAGTTTGAGTCTTTGCTGCAGATTATCTTACCTAAGACGGTCAGTTTAGTTCCAGCGCCGAAATAAGCCTCGCTGAATGAACACAGAGCTCTCAGACTGTTACAAAAACCTCTTCCTTGTCTCTTGGGGCTCCTCTTTGCAATTTATCAAGCTTTGTCATAGTTTCAGACTTTGAGCTTTTCATAGAGATCGACAGTAGTCAACAGCTAGAGTCTGCTAAGGATCGCCCTTGAAACCACGGCAGCAACAGGACACATTTATATATATATAGATATATATATCTATATAAATATAGTGAGTTTTATGGCTATTATTGCATCACTCATTACCTGAAGGTGTCATTCAGGCTTTTGGGTATTTTGCCATCAGATGAAAAACAACCATTAAATGATATTCTGATTTATATTCTAGTTCTTTCACTTTATTTCTTAACTAAAACAGTCGACCTGGTGCCTCCATTGAAAAAAGCCTCAAAAACAAAACCACCAGCACAGTAAACTGAACTTTACTCCAATCACCTTAAACATGCCGGATTTGCTTTCTTTTTGTACACACAGGCTAATATCCAAATACTTTCCAACATCTACACATTTATAATGCTTCCAAAGGGACGAGCAGACGTTTTACTCACCGAGAACGGTCAGTTTTGTGCCTGCACCAAAATAGGCTTCATAAGTAGCACAGTGGACCAGCTTAATATCAAATAGCATGGAGCTGAACCAGTAATAAAAAGGACCACATTTTTGTAGGTCACTGCTTCAGCCATAGTCTAAACATTGCAAACGTGTTTTTTCTCTCAGTACACAGAAAGTGTGAGGGCCCCAACTTACCCAGAACAGTTGGTCTAGTTCCACTTCCAAAGCAGGCTTCAGCTCCAGTGTCACATTGAACGCATCCTTTGTGAAAAAGTAACCAAACAGTCCAGAGCAGGCACTTGAAATGAGACTAAATTCCCACTAAACACTTGGAATGTTAGCAAAGGACATGTTAATCCCACCAACTGAGTTTTAGTTAAAAAAGAAAGATGAGTGAAATAAACTCAGAAGCTGCACTGTGTTTAAAGTTTTATTGAATTCTAAACAAATTCCCTCACTAATGATATTTCTGTGCAGTAAGAGCAGGGCTGCCTGCACTTTTTAAAATACTGCTCATTTTATGCTTTTCAGGTGTTGAAAGTAATCTGCAGAGCTCCTCGCGGTGCATTTTAAATGCAGGAGGTTTTTGTACGGCGGCTCTATTGGTTTGTATCACCGTGCCCCCCCTGTCCCCACAGTGAAAAAGCACTAGACAAAAACCTGACTTCACTTTGCTGCTGTCTTTCCTCCCCCCACCCAGCATCTCCATATCTCAGCCTCCATCTTTCTCTGTTGGTGGATGAGAGCAGCTGTGCAGGCTGCCTGGAGGCCTGAGGTGAGCATGAATGCTGCTATTTCTGTGACTGCTAAGAAAAGACGCACAAAGAAAACGAAGCCCGTGTTTCTATATACAGTAGCTGCACGGTGACGTCTTCTCTGGTCACACCTCTTTATTTCCGCCCAGTCAGTATAAAACTGGAGGAAATCAGCAGTTCCACATCATCATTGTGATAATGTTTCCCAAATTACAGTGATTAAACCTATGGTTTGACACCCCTACAAGGCTTTTAGATGAATAAAAAGGAAAGTATATGATCAAACTTATCAGATATGAAGGGAAACCCTTTCAAAGTCAATCGCAGTCAAGACAACATTTTGTTTGCTTTCTTTTCAGATTGTTCATCCTGACAGAATTACACACACTGCTGTGGAGGCTCAAATTATTCACTTTACTGTTTTCTAACCACAACTAAACTTTTAGATGGAAAATAAAAACATATCAAACACATTAATACTGATGTTTTATTTCTAAAAGTGCCAGAATCCTAAAAGGAAAAAAAGGAAAAAAAGATCTTATGTGATTTTGTAATAAACAAATATAAACGTAAACGCGACATGAGAAATAAAGTTGTGGGACAACTGATAAAACATTTGTTTGTCCTTTCTTAAAGAATTTTAACAGTGATGCAGTTGGACCTTGGTTCATGCTTAAGCACAAAGTTAAATCAGTCTGGTATCACTTTAGACATAAATATAATCTGAGATCGGCCCGGCTCATTGAAGGGTCATCATCAGCATGATTTTTCAGACATATGTAACACCAACTTCAGCCAGCAGAGGGCAGGCTGTGATCAACTTGTTCTTAAACAAAACAACTGTGAGCTCAGACAGCAAACACTTAAAGAATAAGAGAAAAAGAAACACAGAATAGCAAAATGCAAGATATGTGGATGCTGAGAAGCTACACTGTACGGGACACTGCTCCCTCTGTTATAGCACCTGTGTGCTTATCTAACTGATCAGCTTTGTGGTACTGCAGACACGTCAGCCAACTGAAACAGATACGTTTTTATGACTTCATGGATCAGCGACTGCTCCTCTGCTGCTGATCAAGTTTTGCCTCAGCTAAATTTTTCTAGAAAAAGCTCCATGTGGGTAAAACCACAGAACATGGTCCAAGCTGCTTGTACTTTTGGATCACCCCACCATGTCAGAAATCTAAAAACCGCGGAGCAAACTAAAGCTGAAAAACAGATAGCTTGTGACCTTCGATTTGGAAGGCAGCATGTGGCAACTAGAATACCAATCATGCTCAAAGAGAGACGAGAAAAATAGGGATAAGGATCAGAGATTATTTTCACACTTTAGTAATTTTTGATAAACTGGAAATGTAAATGAAAATATTAGCTAATGTCCCATTTCAGCGTTTTTAATCACGTATTGGTTTATTCATATTGTGAAATGTCTGTCTGTACTGTGCTGAGGTTTGCAGTCAATTACTATGTTGGACTGCAGCAGAGCTACCGTAGCCCCACCTAACATCAGTTTAAATGCTGATTTGATTCATTCACTAAATAAGACCTTTGCACTAGTTCTATAGTGTCAAGAGGTGAAAGGTTAGGCATGATGGCTCAGGATGTCGAAATCCAAGACGTGGTTTGGTATCAGCAGAGAAAGCCGGCTGATCTCTATGCAAAGAAAAATCTACCACAGAAGAATGAATTGTGACTGAGGGTTCGCCCTTGCTAATTTCCACTTTAAACCATAATTGTCATAATGTACACAATTGCACATATAGTATAAAGTACTTATTTTATCATAGTATACACAAGCAGGAAGATCATTTCAAAATTGGAGAATTACTGTGAGGTGTAACAGGTATAATTTATACATGAGGACATCATCTACCAGGGTTTCAGTGATATTTCAACTGAGGAGCTGAGAGATTCCTGAGTGGCAGTGAGGGGATGCTGTCATTTTTTCAACTGGTATGCAAACACTGCTGCAGGGACTTTTTCCACACTGTGGAATTGTTTTTAGGCAGACTAGAGCAAATGTAACATTTCAGTCACGAGATGGTCAGCTACTGTAATCCGATTACTTTTTTCAAGTAACGAGTAAAGTAAGGGATTACTATTGCAAAAAAGCAATTAGATTATTGTTACTTTCCCGTAAGCTCGCAGTGTTACTGCGTTACTAAACTGTGATTTTGTTTTTGAGAGTGTCTCATGACAATGACGTATGAGGCAGCAACAGACGTGTGCAGATTAACAATGAACAATATGGAGTGTGGGAGAGAGTACGACCATGCAGCGTTTAAAGCTTGGAAGTACTGACATTACTTTGAGTTTGATTCTGTAAAAGTGGCAAAAACATTAGAGTCCACTGTTACTCTGAGTGGGAAGAAAACTTCTTTCTTAAAAAATGAAACTTAAAATCTGAGTACGCACCAAGCACGCTACCACGGGAATGTGAAATTCACAGAGAAACCCCCGCTGTGATGACTGACCGCTGCTGCACCGGCAAACCTCCACCCGCCCCGCTCCTGCTAGGTGAAAATTAGATTTAAGAGCGACAGGACTCAGAGCTGCTGAGTCTTTGATTTTATTTATTTTCTGCTGTGTTTTACTTCCATCTATTTGAAAGAGGGAGTGCAAACACAAAAACATTATCTTATTTTATATGCTGAAATATGCAGAAAATAGGTTTAAATGTTAAATCATTTCTGCAAGTCAAAGACAGCTGCATATAATTAAATTTTTGTTTAATGCAATGTGCATAAAATTAAAAGATTAAAACTCATAAAACAATTTTAAAAAAGATGTTTTCATTTGATTCAATTTCATATGATGGATTATGCAGAAAAAAATAGATTTGGGCTGAAAGGTCTGTTGTTTTATTACATATTCAGGTTGCGTGTCATGTTTTTAAAAAGTAACTAAGTAATAAGGTAAGTAATTACTTTTGAAAACAAGTAATCAGAAAAGTAACATACTCTCTTGGAGAAGTAATCAGTAACAAATTACTTTTTTAAAGTAACTTGCCCAACACTGGTCACCAGTCTTTGTTAGGCCTCCCTCCTGTGACTTTGTCTTTGTGCTGCTGTTATGTTTTTTTTTTTAACTTTTGTGCTGATTTTTACTTCCAATCAGTTTCGTGTTTGTGCAGCGCCTTTTTTGATTTCACTGGATGTGTTTTGTCATGTGACTACCTGCAGGTCTGCCTTGGATTTTTGTCTGTGACTGTTTCAGGTTCATATTTATATTTAGTGCTGTAAATATATTTTGAGGCATTTTAATGCAAACATAATATGCACAAAAATGGCCTTATGTAATGTATGCTTGATTCATTTCAATGTGTAACAAAATATATGAACAAAATTTTTCACAATGGTACATTTAGAGAAAAAATAGTAAAATGATTAAAAACAACAGTAAAAAAATTGGATTACAATTTTATACAAATTACATAAATAAACAAACAAAATTTCAGTCTCATAACAAACAAATAATCTATGTATCTTAATCAGGACAGAAAAATTATAGATAAACTGGAAATCTGAATCATGTTACCTTCAAATTGTAACAAATTCAAGAGCCTTATTTTCTATTCTTTTCTTAAAAAATTAAGAAAATTAAGAAAAATACTATTATTACATTTCTATATTACACTTTTAAACAAATAATATACAAATATAATCAAATCTAATATATAATTTAAAGACAAATTCTTAAAGTCAAGCCAAAGCTTTACTAATTGAACACAAAGAGTTTTGAGAAAAACAAACATCTGCAGGGAGACTGAGTGAGCTGCTTGTCAGCCGTTGACCTGCTGTGATGTTGGGGTTGTTGATGAGCCACAGAGTGAGTCTGTGCTACTGTGGCAGTCTTGAGGCGCAATAATACACAGCTGAATCTCCAGGCTCCACTCGCTTTATGTGCAGACTAGAATTACGCACCGCAGGACGTGACATGAAGTACTTTGTCTCATTAAATGGAGCTTCAGTGGTTTGAATACCTTTATTAATAGAATACGTTAACAGCTGCATTTGCCTAAAGTCTGCGTGTTTGTACCAAAACATGTATAAATATTCATCATTGTCCTGTTCACATTGCAGCGTCACCGATTTCTCTCCTTCACGGCTCAAAGTAAAAGGTGGCTGATATATTTTCACACTGCAACAGAATCCTGGACAACGAAGGAAACAAAAAGGTTAATCGAAGGGTTTGGTGTGGAGATCAAGTCAAGTAAAACAAACAAACAAAAACAATTTTCTTACTGGAAAACAGGAGAAGTGCTAGAGAGAAGAGCTTCATGTTCATTAGGGTTCATCAAAAGGAATGTTCACATGCTTGAATGTTTCCTGAGTTTTCCACGAGTGCTCCACCCACAGTCACTGAGAACAGCTACAGCCCTGCCCATGGTGGCGAGGCCTCTGTGGGGAGGCTGCTGACTGCTAATTCAAGTCATTATAAAAGGCTAATTAATTAGCAGAAAACCTTTAGTTCAACTTCAAATTAATTCCACCTCAAGGTGCTTTATATTGCAAGATGATAAGCCAGAATAATGACAGTAATGGATTGGCCAGAACAGTCTCTGGATACGAACCCTGCTGAGCTGCTGTGGGAACGTTTGACATACTGATGGAGGGAGGACGCTCCAGGAAGGCAATCTTGTAGGAGATGTTCCAGGAAGTGTGTGGTTAAATGTCATCAGATTACCTTAAAACATCAGCTGTAATGTGTAGGAGCTGCCAGACTGTAACTGCTGCAAAAGGTGGTTTTTGAAGTTTGAAGAACGTGTTTATTCATTTATTCCTTATATATACAGTGGGGCAAAAAAGTATTTAGTCAGCCACCGATTGTGCAAGTTCCCCCACTTAAAATGATGACAGAGGT